CAAGAAGCTGTGGATACATTCATCCACACCATTTAAATCATTTCAAATTTTGGTTATTATTACATCGAAGTAGTTATGTAGAATGTTTCAGAATGACATCGTCATCACTGTACTGAAATGACAGTTTGTTCCAAAGACATATGATGTCACCGAATCCGATTACAAAATCTAATTTATTGTGTTCTGTATCACTTCGTTTCACAACCTTTTGTCGGATGCATGTAGTTTTTTGAGTATATGGAAGCGTCTATATAATGGAAGGGATTAGCTATGAGTTGGCAGCATTTCTACAATTGAAGAACATATGGAACTCAAAACACCTGTGAACTAAGAATGTAGGTTTACATGTACCTGATATTTGCTATCATAAACAATATGAAAAACGCAAGAACAAAGACCCCTTACATAAATGAGATATAAACATACAATAATCAGTCTATTCAATTTCTTTACACCGTTGCTAAACTACACTAATGTATCCTCAACATAACTTTCAACTAAGCTCTTTCATGTAACTAATTTGATCCCATTTCGTTGTTATGATTGAAATATCACATGTTGTAAGCAATTGACAGGAACTAAACGAAATATAACGAATTCTGAAGGAATCTCTTTTCTTGCTCTCTTCAGAATAATAAAGGGAACCAAGTATATGGAACTTTGAAGAACGCACTACTGAGGAGTCACACAATAGGATGAAACGGCTGTTCATTGTTTCCAGGTTTTCCAAAAATGTTTTCAATTGAAATAGTAATGAGATAATGAATATGAAAACTATGTTACAAGTCTACAAATGTAATTGTGACCTTACAATTTTACTCATGAATACATAATTAAATGTCATTTACAGCACATAAATGTTTCACAATTCATAGTTTTAAATTCGTTTCAGTGAAGAAAAATACACCGATTGTCATTGTTGAAAATCAGTGATTTTTCAATCGTTTAACGCAAGATTTACATCACATTGTGAAGGTGCCACTTTGTTATATGATAATCGAAGATCATGGAATTGCTAATTACAACTCCTGGACTGGATCACTGTGATACTTAATAGTTGGACAGAATCAATCATGCAAATAAAACTGTGTCATTAAAATCATTTCAAATTTCGGTTATTATTACATCGAAGTAGTTACATAGAATGTTTCAGAATGACATCGTCATCACTGTAATTAGAAATGACAGTTTGTTCCAAGGACGTATTATGCAACCAGATCCGATTGAAAAATCTAAACTGTTGTGTTCCGTATCATTTTGTTTCACAGCTTTTTGTCAGATGCATGCATTTGTTGAGTCTATGGAAGCGTCTATATAGAGGAAGGGATTAGGTAAGTGTTTGCAGCATTTCTACAATTGAAGAACATATAGAACTCAAAACAACCGTCAACCAATATCAAAGTCATATTCTTCAATAAGAACGTCAAAACAGTTCTATTGAACGTAGATGAAACTTCGAGAACTACTACAATCAACGTCAAAAATATACAAGTATTTTCAAATAATTGGCTATATAAGATACACAATATCAGAATTCACATTCTCACAAGCTTTCAGTAGTCTCAGGAGTTAAGCTTCCGTCGAAAATCCTACAGCGACGAACATCTCTCTGAAAACCATATCAGTCTCACTATCTGAAGTAGTCTGGCTGGCGCCAAAGTTAACTAGAACTGACATCGCCGAACCATATATATATATTTTTAACCCCTAATAAAATACTCTATATGAAAGCATGTTACTCGTTCATGTTTCTATTAGTTGTATGAGAAATGAATAGTGTTAAACGTGATAGTGATGATAAACATTTCTGAAACCTGATGATTTCCTAATTTCAATGATAACTTCGAAATGTAATAAGACATGATGACGCCTCTCACATATCTTCGACTCATTCACTGTTAGAGCCATCGCAAGTTTATATACACCTAGTACACAAAAAATGGCATCACAGGTTAACATTTCATTGTTCTACTCAATGTGAAGTAAAAATAAAAACTATGCATATATATATATATATATATATATATATAACTATGTATGTATTCTTGAGTCCAGTAACTCTTGGTTGTCTTCAGAGCATATCAAGAAAAGTTTAATAAAAGAAAAATCGACATATACGCAAGATTAGAGCAAAGACTACAATTGCATAAACACATAACAGAAACACCACTGGCTAACGTTTAATTACACGTTCTTAACTACGGTTTACAAGTATTTGGCTGTGTTAATTTGCTTACATTGTCAACAAATGACTGCACTGCATGTTGTATTTGCGCCATTATATTTCTCGTTATAAGGGAAATGAACGAAAACACCGAAACAATTTCAACATGGCAGATCAGTCTTAAGTGATTTGGGCATACACATTCACCGTGAATGTGATATAACTCAAAAGTATACCATGAAACTAATTGTCAAATAAAGTATATAGGTGAATATTATCAGTAATTGTTTAATTATATTTGATTTAGTAGATTTATATGAATTATGTTTATAATACGGCGTTTCACATATTAGTTTTTGAATATCGAAGTACAAATATCTATATTGTGAGCTTCATTTGATGACGCGTTTACTGTTCCTCACTGTTCGGTGTTTTCGACGTATTTAGGTATCAAGTCAACAAGATGAGTAATGATTGAATATTTACTGAATTCATTATGTTGTTCGTTGTTTCAGTTTTTTATCTCGACCAATTTGGTTAAGTAGTATTCCATCGATCATCATCAACAACAACTCACTCTGCTAAGTTGATTAATTATCTTGAAAGTATATATAAAGTATATTCATGCTACTATTAAGTACACTATATGATTCATGGGAAGAGGAGATTTTTATTGTCACCATTCAACCAAACAGAACCAACTTAAAAGTATTATTTTGTTAGATTTAGATGGTGGTTATCAGTGGAATCGAGTTCGCGCTTTTCGTACTTTATGAGACTCGTCAGCTGGATGTATTGTGAAATTCATTTGATGACGCGCCCAATGTTCCTCAGTGTTGGGTGACAGACTCATGAATACACAGCTATTCTAAATCATTACTAGAAACAAATGAAATTTAATTCAGTTCTATGGCAAGCATTATATAAGTTATCCTGATTAAAGAGAATTTCATAGGATAGCAAACGTGATCACTACATATTATAGAAATTTATCAACTTTGAAATCAACTTTCATACTCTTATCACTTTCGCTTTCAACAAACTGCTACCTGTTTACTTAATATCTGTTAATAGAGCTGAAGTGAAGGAAAACATAATTAGGGACAATCGAATGTATTTTATTATGAAATTACAGAGCGTCTTAGTAAAATCTGAGATCCATACAGTAAATACTTTATTTGAAAAAATTTCAATCAACCATCTCAGACTTCATTGTTCTTTCATTTTTACTTCAATCATTCTCTGTACTCGTTCTATTGTCTTCGATCTTGACTTTCTGCCACCAGGCATTTAACTTTTGGTTGATGACACATTCTACTTTGATCTGTAGATACCATATATATCGCAGAGTCATAAAACATTATAAAATTTCATCTATAGAGGTATGTCAGTATATTTTCAAACTAAATTTATCCAATAAGTCATATAACGATTTATTCAGTGAATTTATCAACTAGTTCATTTCCAATGCTGGTCAATCAATTCTATATATAATCGACAATGAAAATTCACGAAACATAAGAAATTTGTCATTATAATGCTTTTCAATAAACGTGTAAAATTGAATTTATGAAAATATGATCTACAATTTAAGTGATTGCTCGGGTGACATGGATGGCAACATTTGAAGAGAAATCATTCATCAAATAATAAATTAATGTCTTTTGACAAGATTCAACACCCATAGTCTATTGTCAATGTATTACAGATGTGGTACTGAGTTGGTATCAGAATGTTCCGAGTCATTTACCTTTTGAGCTTTATTACATTTGTTATTCTGTGAATATCTGTTTTATTCAAATATGAGAGTACATCATCACTCTACTCCTAATGGTAGTTATAAATAACCATCAACAGTCTTACTGCTAGCCATGAAATCAACAGAACGAACGCCACTAGTTGTCAAACAAAACCCAATGGTGGCCAAAATATAGAAAGTGTACATTCATTAGAAGGAGTACATTCAAATTGTGTGAGATTTTAGTGGATAACAAATTCACTGTGAAGATTTTGAAACAACATTTTACCTTTTCAACAATCAGAACTAACTTAAAAGCATTATATTGTTAGAGGTAGATGGTGACTGGCAGTGGAATACTGGACGCACGTTTCGTTCTGTTTGATACTTGTCAGCTGGATGTACCTGCTTGTGACTTAATGTAGTATCGAGGCTATCCGCATAGGATGTACATATGCGAGAAAGAGACTGATCGATCACAGTCCTGAACATCGATGGGAAGATTCAAACAACCAATACAAAAATGAATTATTTTGTTGGTTTGGCATTTTATTTACAAATTATTACGGGACATTAGTTCCAGGAAACACTTTGATTGTTATTTTCTGAGCAATTAATCCAACTATTTTCTCAATTTTTCGAATGATCTGATTCCAGGCCATCAATGCTTGAAGATAAACATGGGCTATGAAAAGTGCATAGTATCACTTAGAACTTTATAACTTATTGAAAATTATCATGAATACCTAACGACTACAACACAAACTTGAGTTTTATTTTTTCTGGAAATGGATCCAATACTTGTAAGCAACATAGCATTTTGTGCACTATTATTATTAATGAGACTCTATCTTGTTTAATTCATGAATGAACTGATATACTTTTGGTGGAAAATATTTCATACATTAAAGTACATACTTTTTCTTACATTGTTTATCACAACGTTACACTTATTTGAGAGGGAACACTGGATAATTTGGACAAACTAATTGACAAGGAAACTAAATAAGTCATTTTTGTGATCGCATTTAATTTTAATTCTATTTACAACTGTTATTTATTCCAATGGCAATTTATGTCATTTTTTGTTGAATTCATATGGATCTGTCAATCAAAGAGTTTGCTCTGTTAAATTATGAAAAACTCGGTAATAAGGAGCATTTAGTTAGTCACAAGATACACAGTAAACGCCGTTTCACTAACCAAATTCGACTTTTTAAAGAGTATATAAACACAATTTTTCTAACTACTTTAATTTCCAAAAATATGTTGCTGTTCATTGCATTCATGTTGGTTCTTGGTTCATTTTTGCAAAATTCATATGTGGGTAAGTCTCAGACTAATAGTATCTAGCCGTCTTTGTTCGGCAAACGAACGTACTGCATTACTAGTAATATTTGATAGTGAAAGGAATAGTGAAGTGAACATAAATAATTTCGAATTAGCTCTGAACAATTTATTTTTGTTATCACAAAATGTAAACAGGTTCATCTTGATAAGTTCATTGATAAAACTGTCCACTATATCAGGATTTCTTAACCAACAATCCAGGTCGTATATCAATTCTCATGAATACATTACTTTCCCTTCATGAGAATACAGAACTACAATCGAACAACATAAATATTTTTATATCTATAGTGTGCAGAAAAAGTGAAAATCAGCCGTAACTATGCAAATATTAGTATAGTATAACGTATTTGTATTAGTATAATATGAATAGCTATAGAATGTTAAGGTAAAATATCACCATAAAACAGTTTGAATAAATAAGCTACGATCATTATTCTACATATTATTTTTAGAGGTTCATGGGTAAGTAGTTCATCTGTTAAATTCCGTAATAACTACTAATTATCTTTGTATTACTTTGAGGCTCGAATTTATTCTTCGATGATATGTTATATGTAACTAAGTATAATCTGTAATACATTCAGTCACATAATCTCACAGAATTTATGACAGAATGAAGCTATAAATGTTTATCAGTAGAGAAATTCCAAAATACAATCACTGTCAATGTTACACCGAACATATAGAAAAGACATTACTTCCGTTTCAATAATTAACCTCAGTAAGTCATTCGCGAAATGGTTCATTTTAGTATTTAAAACTACACCGCTAAACTGACTCATTCATGCATCGTGTGCGTAATAAAGATTGTGCGAAATACATTTGAAAATATCTATTGAAAATAAATACAACCGGTAACACCAAATTAGCAATACACTACATCTAATCCGATCTAGCCTTCATTAGGTTACACCAATTTTTATATTTGTATTTGAATATCACACAAAATATGTTATTTATTCTAAAGTAGTCGGATTATGTTTCGGTCTGCGTTGAGTTAAATCTTAGTGCTTTTCTTTTTTTTTATTGTTACATGCACTTGAATGTTGCAATGTTTCTTTAAAATTACTTATCATCAGTTTGGACTGCTTCAGTTATTCACTTCAGACCAAATATCAGTTGTCGAATTACACTATATTCGCAATCTTTCATCACTGAAGAATTTAGTAGCTTGTTTTTGAGTTCACCGTTTGTATCTGCCATCAACATAAATTCGTAATTTGTTTCTTAATTAACAAATATAAATATTATTTTGCTAGACGAAGTTCTTTGAACGCTCCGTGAGTATTTTGAATTTTCTAACAGTGTACCCTGTACAATGAACATTAAATATGCATATAGAAGGGTATTAGCGTAAATAATTCAACAAATATTTATCATCTGAAATATGATGAACATACGGCTATATCTATTGCTAAATCGCATATACAAAGATTTCATAAGTAAATATGGATCGATCGAACTCAGTTTTCAATATTACATTTGATGATAAAACGAAAGACATTGCATAACATAACATTTAAACATTAAAAACGCTTAAGGTTGTTAATGTCTTAATAACTCATAAGTTTGTACAAAACATAAAATTACCAAAATAAAGTCGAATAATACCGTTGGGCATTAATAGTGTGATTTATTTCTGATTTTTTAGTCACTTCATGACTGAATGGTCACTAAGACTGCAATTTTATTATCAATAACGTTTACTACCCATTTTAGTGAAAGGCTGTTTGAACAAGTGGTACGTTGGTACAGTGGAATTTTATTGTGTTGATTTAAATCACGAAAAGCTTTTGTACAAAAGATTCTCGAAGTTATAACTAAATGAGTACGAGAGCACAATATTTCACTACTATTGAAAAACATTCATTTTCCTCATTTGCTTCTTAGTACATTTCAGAATTTATTTTAACCCTTTGTCACTAAGCAACTTTTTGAGAGGATAGATGTCAATCAATCGAAATGTCGTCTGACACGATTTAGGTAAATTAAATCTACACTGAATATGAAACGGTTCCTTGGGTGCTTTATTCAGATAAAGTGTGGGAAACATGTAACTTATTATGGAGGAAATTGTAATTGTGAGAATCTCAACTAGGAAAACATTTCACTCGATAGTCTGATTTAAGCGTTTTTAAGGGAAATGAATGAGGAACACAGTTATCTATTATGAATAAATAGTTCATATACTATCCATGTACTAGACAAACTATCCAGATCATATTATAATGTTAAGAAAACCTTGTGTTCATATCTGATTGTTTGATACTTAGTTACTTCCATTGAAAAAGCATAAATCAGACTACTTAATGAAATGTTCATTCATTGAGTGTTTCGCAAATATAATTTCATTCTTAACATCTTACATGAACTCAACGACCAACTACTGTGAATCTATTAGTTCGAATTCAGACTCACTGTTTTGTTTATATTCATTTTATTTCCTGTTCAGTATAATGCATCAGTAGAACAAGCGAAAGAAGTACGTTCTCGATCATTTTATTTATTTAACCTTGATTTTGATTGTTTTGAAGTACATTTTATATCAATTTGTCGAGATAAATAACTTCTCGTATTGAAAAATGTTATTTAATATTCTGTGCTATTTACTTCAGCCTCACAAGTAGCACCTTTCATGATCACGTTCCTGGTACACATCATTTTTGTTGAACACCTAATTTCGTTTCAGTATTCTGTCCAACATTTAAACTGTTTAAAAGAAATTTTCCACCTTGTCTAACATGTACACATTTAACTTCTGATTAGACTGGTAAATCCTATATTCAAACGTTCAGAAAACGTGTTTTTATAAAATATCGACGGACACTTATTAATAATCAAGTACAACTCAAGAAATAAGAAGAAAATCTAATGATTACTAAAACAAAAAATAACCTAAATACAGATTTGAAGTTAACTTCCAGTCGCCGATTTCTTACCCGAAATCAACGTTATCAATAAAGTGAATAGCATATGAGCCTTATAATTAGTGCCTTTAGCGAATACTAATATTCAAATGTACAGTGATATTGGTGGTTGAAATGAAGTAAATTTCACAAATTGAAGATATTTAATGGTTCTTCTGGATTCACTTGAACGAAATTCCCATTACTAATTGATTCTAATTAGTCTCATTTAAAATTCCAGCCTTCACAATGTCTAAATTTGTAATGTATATAACTTACTATTTCTATTACAGAAAGTTAATAAAACCGAGGTAAATTTGATCTCAAGTTATTTTGACATTTTGATAAGGTTCATACAGACACATTTACAATGATATATAAATACATGCATGAAAAACAAGTTATCATTTATGTTTAATTTTCCACCAGTAACTGTTATATTCAGTCACCAAATAAGTAAATCAGCACTTATGAGAACATAATCCATAATGTAAAAATCTACGAAAACATGATATGCGGATGCATTCTTTACAAATCTCAAAGATACTTCATCGATAAGAAATGTGTCTTCTCAAGTTTAATTGTTGAATTCATTTTGTTAAATAGTTTCTACTTTTGATGAAAAGCATTTAAAAATGTACTTTTACAATATTTTATTTATCACAAGATGGAGGTGAGTTGTTTATTTCTAATGACTCTTCAAACTCCTCATGCTCATGTTCTAACACATAACGAAATGATCTCGGGTTTGGTTTGAGCAAACACAATGACCTCTAATAATAGTCGAATATCCAAAGACTAACTACTGGTTTCAACACTGGAAAAGAAGACATTATATAACTTTCCATAAGTATGTTTCCAAAACTCGCTTATTCCAATGACCAAAATCTTTGAAGTATATAAAATGATAAACTAGAGTTAATCGATCAAGTCCTATGATAGTATTTGAAAACCTCACCAGGTGTTTTGTCGTTCGTTTACTGAGATAGATAGTTGTTTCCTCTTGAGAGTAGTTTCCGTTTAATATCAGCATAATTTATATATCTTTTGTGGAATTTTTGAATCATTCATTGTCAAAGCTCTGGATATGTTGTGCAGATTACTGAAGAATTCTAACTGACCAAGAATTATAGATCTCCAAACTGTAGAACGTTGGTTCTATCACTACTACGTTAGTTATAGAAATTACGGCGAAGTAGTTTTATTGACATTCAATTGTCGAAGCATTTTGTCCAGCCGAATGTGAATATGTAATTAAATTTCATTCTCCGGACAAAAATCTAGTCCCAATACTTTATGTATAGCTTTATGAAAATTGGAGTATTTTATATAAACAGTCTTTAAAATACCCCTAATTCTCCACTGAATCACATTTTTCAAATATTTATAAACATAATCGAGTTATTGTACCTTATTTTTTCATTGTGTTTAGCTGTTAGGAAGGCGCTGATTAAACGTTTGCAAGCAATCATTTGATTATACAGAATAACTATTCGTTGTTTGACCTAACCTTCAACAAAATGATAACTAAAAATCATATTGCATCATTTCACTTTTAAAATGTTTTTAAAGTAAATATTTTGCAACAATAACAGACTTCTTTCTGTGGTCTACTGAAATACAATGACGAGAAAATTTATGTAACATACGTTATTTAGTTAGATCTACGGATTTCGGCATCATTTCTTGACTTCAGTGACACAAAAATTCTTGTAGATAAAATTGCACGATGGACATTTACTCATCAAGTTGATTGTTCCCTCGTAACATTACGAACTAGCTTTTTGTGAGGGAGAGGTTTTGTCAGCTTGATTGCCAAAATGAAGCTGATTAGAGTGGTGAACTAGGTGTGCAGTTAGCCACTGCAATAAATGATAATAAACAACGTTTGAGGTTATAGTTAGTCTGATCTCAAAGATATTCGTTTTACATTTGCATTCTGAAGGATGAGTAATAATAATGAGGTTTCTATGTTTCTTTATGTAAATTTTGAAATGGTACACGACTGATGTATGAAGTAATACTATGAAAACTGTTTGTAGCGGAAATCTTAAATAGCAGTTCGTTT